GTGCCACACCGGTACCCATATGTATACATAGAAAGAAGTTTAACATCAAGGAAATGGATTACAATTGTAGAGTTCCAGATCCCTAGCAGAAGGTAGAGAGACTCCCTCCTGTATCTCCATTACACTGGTAATAGGCCACACGCCCAAAGATGTATCCCTTCAGTTGATTGACTACTCATCACCACTCAGAGTTAACTAGGCCTGTATTTGGTTTCATCACCATGGGAATAAGCACATCCCAACTGCCAAACTTCTGGAAATCCTAGCATAGTTAAGCTGACACCAAACCCTAAACATTACAATGTGTATACCCGCTGTTTACATCTCTATCTGTTTTGAAACATCAAAAAGAACAGATAGAGATTATTATAATTAATGTAATCACATTTAAATCCTAACCTATTTGAAGGGGAAAATAAAATCCCACAAGTTTCATAATATTGCTTCATTATTCTATTGTTAGGAATTTGAACAGTTTTTCACTATTATAGATAATGCTGTTGAGATATTTGTGTATAAACTGCTGTAAGTTCATGAAATACACAACATAATTTTCCAGGAGTTAATGATTCAGAAGGATCCATTGACTCTCAATTCTAGTGCTCTTAGTATATAAAGTGAAAGTGATTAGCTTTTCTCAGGGGAGTTATGATGAACATTTTGGGAAAATACGGAGACTTGTTTTTTTTCTTTATAAACTTTTATACTATTTGAATTTAATATTGTTGTTAAGTGCTGTCAAGTCAGTTCCAATTTATAGCAGCCCTCTATAGGGTTTCTGGGGATCAGCTGGTGGGTTTGAACTGTTGACCTTGTGGTTCACAGTCCAGTGTTGATCCTCAGCATCACACCAGGAGTTCTGAATTTAAAATAAGAACCTATATACAGATCCATTTGGAGAGATGAGGGTGAAGATACAAATTGTGGAGTTTTCTCCTGATTTTCTTGCTCATCAAAAGCACTGGATCAACTTATTAACCTGGAGAAAAGAAGGATACTGTGGCAGAGAGCAGTTCTGTGGTGTTCTTGGTCACACAATTTATAGAATTTCTGAAGGGCATTGGAGATTACTGCCAGGCACATCACAACCTCTGTGTAGACAAGTGAACTGTAGAAATTCACTATTAGTCCACCAAGAAGCCCCCATAAGAGCAGTTAACCAGGACACAGAAGTGTTGAATTGAAATCCCTGGAGCAATTTTCAAGAGTTCTGACCTGAATGGGGTAAACCTCAGTGCACTTCCTTTCTATTGCCTCAGTATTACTCAACTGAAGAATTGCTGCTTCTTGTAAGGAGGTTCATTTCATTTTCCATTACTCCCAACACTATACTGAAAGCACTGAGAATTACAAGTGGAGTATTTTGAAGTAGACTTCAGTTTCTTTACATCATTTCTGCATTCACTTTTTAAAATTCTTTCATAACCCTATTGAATTTTTAAAACAAAATCAACATGGCTAGAATGAACCATCCAGCTCCTGTGAAAGTCACATACAAAAACATGAGATTTCTTATTACACACAATCCAACCAATGTGACCTTAGATAAATTTATAGAGGAACCTAAGAATTATAGAGTTACTACAATAGTAAGAGTATGTGAAGCAACTTATAACATTGCTCTTGTGGAAAAAGAAGGTCTCCATGTTGTGGATTGGCCTTTTGATGATGGTGTAACGCCATCCAACCAGATTGTTGATGACTGGTTAAGTCTTGTGAACATTAAGTTTCTGAAGAACCTGACTGATGTATTGCTGTCCATTGTGATGCAGGACTTGGGAGAGCTCCAGTGCTTGTTGCCCTAGCATTAATTAAAGCAGAATGAAATATGAAGATGCTGTACAGTTCATAAGGCAAAAGTGACATGGAACTTTTAATAGCAAGCAACTTTTGTATTTGGAGAAGTATTGTCCTAAAATGTGTTTGCGCTTCAAAGACTCCAGTGGGTCATAGAAACAACTGTTGCATTCACTAAAATGGGTGCCTGATGGTATTACTTTGGAAGTGGAACTTGGGACAGGACCTAGTTTTTCATGCATATTTACCAACATGTTAGCTTTGTGAATAAAGCTTCCAGAAGAGTATTGAAAGTAGTTTTGTCAGGCTTGACAGAATTGCAGTCAGCCTATCTGGACATTTAGCAAAGGTTTCTTACTCTTCAACATTTAAAATCCTTATCATTTGTACCAATTGACCTTTCCTGAAAGCATGCAGTATTCTTATAAGACTTTAAATCTATTTCCACGCCAGACTCCTGTCAATATATAAGAAATTTAGCATGATTAGGTGCCAAAATACCCAGCACAATACTTGTACATTTTTAGTATCATGTTGTTGTTGTTGTTGTTATGTGCCGTGGAGTCTGTTCCGACTTATAGCGACCCTGTACAGGGTTTCCGAGGCTGTAAATCTTTACAGGAGCAGACCGCCTCATCTTTCTCCCGCGGAACCACTGGTAGTTTCGAACTGCTGACCTTGCGGCTCACAGCCCGATTCGTAACCACTACGCTACCAGAACACTAAACCTTTATGTAGTTTATTCCTTCAATTACTTCAAACTTTGAAGATAGAACCTATATGGTTATTTACCTGCTCAGACTGTGTTTACATCTCCCACATTTGTACCAGTCAGTATACATCAGGTTTGCTCAACCACTGATTTTTGTTGTTGTTGTTTTCATCAAGTCCTAACAATGATCATTTAATGTCTTTCTATAAATTTCATTTTGAAAAAACCTGCATTGTACAGAAGAACATGTCAACATGTCTTTAATGTCTCCAAACCAAAAAAAAAGGCTTACAGTTAATTTAATATTTGCACTTTGGTGTGCAACTTAACAGGGAGGATCTGAGTAAAGAACGAGAGTGGACTATTAAATTTTTTAGGAAAGTGTTGCCTTTGTCTTGTGCAGAACATGTAGAACAGGCCCTTTAATTTAGTACATATCTTTTTAAGTGGTAGAAATGCTTTGTTACTGTAGCCAAAACTATTCTTAATCATACAATTTTTAAATCTTTGTTATTTTTTCTCTCATCAATTGGAAGATATTTATGAACTTTGTTTGAAGTGTGATTTTTTTTTCCCCTTTCCAATCTCTTGCAAAAAAACAAAAAGTGAGTTTTTGCTAATGAATTGAGCACTCTAATTTTTATATGCCTTTTCAGCTGTGTAATTTAATATTTGTATTCTTGATAATTTTTTTATTGTGTAATTGATTAAATGGTGATGTGTATTAATGTTAGTTCAACCATGTATTTATACCGTCTGGGAATGTGTGGTTATAATTCTGAGAGAGAAATAATTTTTCAGTGTTCACCAGCTTGTAAAAACCTAGTTGTAAGATTTTAAACATCTAAGTAAATGATGAAATGCATTTATATATTAAAAAAAACAAACAAACAAAGAACTTGTATACAAGGAAAGGAGCTCTGGTCGTGTAGTGGTAACGTGTAGTGGTAATGAATTGGGTTGCTAACCTCAAGATCAGCAATTCAAAACTACCAGCTGTTCATGGAAGAAAGATGAGGCTTCCGTAAAGATTTACAACCTTGGAAACCCTACACAAGGTAGCTATGAATCAAAACCAACTCCATGGCACACTACCACATATACAAGGAGTCCTGGTATGACACTGTAGGAGAAGGCATTGAACTGCAAGGTTGGTTTGAATGACAGTCAGTAGCTCAAACTCACCAGCTGCTTCTTGGAGACCCTATATAGGAACTTAAGGGCACATAACAACAATACAGGTTCCAATTGTGTAACTAAATTTTTTTTCTTTGAAATTAAAATGAGAATCAGCATTGTTGTTGTTGTTGTTGTTAAGTGCTGTAAAGTTTGTTCTGACTCATAGGGACCCAGTACAGGGTTTCTAAGGAAAGACCGGTGAGTTTTAACCTTGCTGTTCAAACCTGGTTGCTCAAACAGACTTTGCAGTCCAAAGCATTAACCCACAGCTCACACCAGGACTCCGTAAAAATCAGTATTAAGTGTCAATTAGACAAGTAAAAGTTTTAGTTTTGAAAATAACAAGTAGCATCAACCAATGTTTCCCATAAGAGGAGGAAAAAGTGGTCAATGAAAATGGTCAATGATAAAACTCAAAGTTGAAGCTGACGCCAACATGAAGTATTCCATTTTTTGTAAACAACTTAATTATTCTGCATGGACACTTAAAAAAAGTTTTGTTCTTCACCATTCTGACATTTAAAATCCAAAGTATATTCAAGGTGTGAATTTCATCTCATTTACAGGATATTTAAGGTGTGAATTTCTTTTCACTCATTTTACCTGAAATATGCTAGACTCCTCTTCTAATTTGACTCTATTTTCCCCCCACATACCAGATAATAAAATCCCACTTTTTCTTTTTCTATCCTATTACAGCCCAAGCACTTTCATCTCAACCTACCCTTTTTTATGGTCTGCTGTCCATATCTCAGTCCTGAGGAAAATAACAAACATTATCATGTTCTGTATGTTAAAGTAAACATTTTCTGGAATCTGTTGTCTCTTAATCTTTAGGGTGATTATTTTTTCCTGTTGCTCTCATGCATTTTTAATTTTCCTTTTTTAAAAGGTTATTCATTTCTAAATGAATTCTCCCCACACTCTATTTATGGTAATGTAGAAAATAATTATAGTAAGTATGGAATTCCTGGATCTGGTTGGAGAGATTTTCAGATCCTGCATTTACCAAATTACATGAAATGATGAATGAGTTTGTCTATTGTTTGACAATTTGAGTGCAAATTATATTCTTTTGTTGAATTGTAATTCTATGTCACAACCTAGAAATTTTCATCTATGTGGTTCCGGCAGAAATGAGGTGAGTCTTTTAATCTATTCCACTGTCTGGGTTTATAATATTCTGAACAGGTAACTTACAAGGGTCCAGTGTCCACTGTGACCAGCGTTCCTCTAGACCCTACCCCTATTTATATAATGTCTTAATTGTGGGAATTACATCTTCTAGGATATAGTAAGCTTATTTTTAGGTATAACTTGGTTCTGTACCAGAAAGGAAGTCCTGGTATGACACTACAACACAATGCACTGGATCACAAAGTCAGATTAAACTGGAGGGACAGTGGTTCAAACTCACTAGACACTCCTTGGAAAACTTATACAGGGTCACTATGGGTCAGAAAAGATTTGATGGCACTTTACAACAGTAATATACCAGAAGGAACACTGGTGACACAGTGGGTTATGTGTTGGGCCGCCAACCACAAGGTCATTATTTGAATCCATCAGCTGTTCCTGCTCCCATAAAGATTTACAGTCTCATAAACCCTATACAGGGTCATTATGTGTCAGAACAAACTTGATGGTACACAGCAGCAGCAGGTGCTAGACCAATGGTATTGTGAAAGTTCTGGTCTTTAAAGAGATGTAGAAAAAATAAAGTTGGGATCACAAAGTAACATCTAGAAAATAGTGGGAAGGCTGGCAAGTTTTCAGTTTCATAAAGACCTTTAAGTTCTGAAACAGAAAGGAAATAACAGAATGGAGCGAAGACCCCCTTTCTACTCTTCAGCAGCTGGCTTGCTACTTCCTTCAGAAAAACTGATTTTGTCTTCTCACTTCCATCAATCCAGCAGTATTTAGAAATGATTCAGACAAGTACCTTTAAATCAAACAGACTAGGTACTGAGTTTTCTGTATAAATATGTGCAAAAGGCTTTACTTCTAATCTAAAGAGTAAACAACAACAACAACATTGCCATCAGTCCATTACAACCCATATTCTATCACACAGAGTAGAGCTGCTCCTTTGTGTTTCCAAGACTGTAAATCTTACAAGAGCAGAGAGCCTCCTCTCTTTCCCATGGAGTGGCTTGTAGGTTTGAATCACTGACCTTGTATTGAGCAGCCCAAAATTTAACTATACAGCCATGGCTCCTTAACCTAAAGACGTCATTGTTGATTACTAATCAACACTCAAATCAAGTATATGATTTATTAATAGTTCGATTGCAAGACCATATATATTTAAATTGATGTATATTGTTACTTAGAACATGTTCAGAAATTACCATATGGTTGTTTTCATCATTGTTAGTTGCCTCGGAGTGGGCTGTAACTCATGCCCATCTTAGGTGTGACAGAACAAAACATTATCTGGACCTGTGCCATCTTTATGCTCTTTAGCGTGTTTGAGTCTATTGTGGTGACTCTTGTTACCAAACTACTCCATTGAGTGTTTGCCTCAACTTTGCCAAACATGATGTGTTTTTCTAGTGTTTGTTTTTTTCCTGATAACATGTTTAAAGTAAGCAAGTTGAAGTATTGCTGTCCTCCATTCTAAGGAAAATTCTGATTGTATTTCTTCTCAGACAGATCTTTTAAAATTATTTTGGCAGTACACGGTATATTCAGCATTCTTCACCAGTCCCACAACTCAAATGCTTCCATGCATCTTGGATCTACCTTTTTCATTATCCAACTTTTACATGCATATAAGACAAATGGAAAGTCCTTGGTTTAGGTCAAGTACGTCTTGGTAATCTAAGTGACATCTTTGTTTTTTAAATGTTTGAAGAGGTCTTTTGCAGTAGTAGAATCTGCAGTTCATCCATTGATTTCTTAACTGCTACTCCCATGGAAACTGATTGTTGATACTTGTAGAAAAAAAATCACTAGGAATTTCAATTTCTTCCTAATTTATTGGTCCAACAGTGAGGGTTTATTTTATTTTATTT